CCGCGTGGCCGTGCCCCGCGGGGGGGGCCTGCAGCTGTCGCGCGCCGGGAATCCCCGGCCGCTTTGACGTCACTGGGGGACGGGGCGCCGGGGCTGGACAGCTGTGCTGGAGGGATGGGGCTTCCCGTCCGCTCCTCACAGCCTCGCGGGGGCGGGAGTCGACTCCAGTCACCGGTTGAAGTCATGAGCTTTCTCTTGACACGGAGTTTTCTGTGGTCCTTAATGTTGGGGGGGTTTCTTTTCTTTTCTTTTTTTTGGTTCAAAGCCCTCCCACCTAAAGCTTTTGTGACGCGAGGGCCAGCAGATCACCCCCGGTGCAGCCCAAGTGAAGCCAGACCTGCTGTCTGCCAGGCAGGCCAGAACTAGGGGCACCTGCTGAAAGGAGTAGGCAGCAGGGTGAAAACTCTCTCTCTCACACACAAAAAGCACTTCTTTAACGGAGTCTAAAACAACAATATCAGCAGTAGTACTGGACAGATATATTTTCCATGTGCTGTACAAATATTAAAACTATGTATAAATGTACAGGTTTCCCTTGGTTTATGTTGTGCACACGTGCCAAGAAAACGGCGCATAACTCGAATTTGCATAAAGGGAACCCACTTTACAATGTAACAGATAGGGATACATTCCAAGACCTCAACTGTACTGATCCCCAGACCCATTTCTACCACTTTTACAAGACAATTTTGGTACTCACCAACACCAGAAGGTACACACAAGCACAGGGCACTATCATAATGGGGATGGCAACTACAGAAATGCATGTGGCAGGCACAAGCAAGGAGCACAGATCCACACAGGAGACTATATTTTGGTGCACATCACTCCCACAATGCACTGCACAAAGCAGCTGACTGCAGGCTTCCACTACACCCATCACATAAGAGTGAATTTACCTCACATATACCAAATATAGAAAATTATCAAGGAGCACATCTGCAAGGGCCCAGCAGGGGAGGTAATGCTCAGGGGCAACCAACATGAGTTCATTGAGGGCAGGTCCTGCCTGACTAACCTAGTTTCTTTTTATGATCAGGTTACAAAGTCCCTGGACTTTAAAAAGACCTTTGACACTGTTTCCCACCACGGCCTCTCAAAATAAACTAGGTGACTACAGCATTGATGCCTACACAGTCAGATGGGTGGCAAATTGGCTAGATGGTCACACCCAGAGAGTGGTGGTGGATGGGTCATTTTCGACCCAGAGGGATGTGGGCAGTGGGGTTCCCTGGGGCTCAGTCCTGCGGCCAGTACTGTTCAACATCTTTATCAGCGATCTGGATGTGGGTGTGGAATGCACGCCGTCCAAATTCGCTGACGACACCAAGATGTGGGGTGAGGTGGGCACGCTGGAGGGGAGGGACAGAATCCAGCTAGATCTAGACAGGTTACAGAGGTGGACGGGTGAGAATGGGATGGAATTCAATGCGAATAAGTGCAAGGTACTACATCTAGGGAGAAGGAACCAGCAACACACCTATGGGCTGGGGAACTCCCTTCTTGTCAACATGGTGGCAGAAAGGGATCTTGGAGTCATTGTTGACTCCAGGATGTACATGAGCTGCCAATGCAAGGAAGCGGTCAGGAAGGCTACCCACACCTTGTGCATATACAGATGCATCACAATCAGGTCCAGGGAGGTGATCCTTCCCCTCTATGTGGCATTGGTCAGGCTGCATTTGGAGTACTGTGTCCAGTTCTGGGCGTCGCACTTCAAGAGAGATGTGGCTAGCATTGAGTGGGTCCAAAGGAGGGCCACTCGCATGGTCAAGGGGCAACAGGGCAGGCCCTACAAAGAGAGGTTGAAGGGCCTGAACCTATTCAGCCTCCGCAAGATAAGGCTGAGAGGGGATCTGGTGGCCGTTTACAAACTCACCGGTGGGGACCAGTGGGAGTTGGGGGAGGCTCTGTTCCCCCGGGCACCACCGGGGGTGACTAGGAATAACAGCCACAAATTGTTAGAGAGAAGATTCAGGCTGGGCATCAGGAGACATTACTTTACAGTTAGGGCTGCCAGGCTCTGGAATGGGCTCCCAAGTGAGGTGGTGCTCTCTCCTACCTTGGGGGTCTTCAAGAGGAGGCTGGACAGATATTTGGCTGGGGTGATATGACCCCAGCACCTGTTCCTGCCCAGGGCAGGGGGTCGAACCTGATGATCTATTTAGGTCCCTTCTGACCCTAAGCACTATGAAACTATGAATTTTTGGTGTAAAAAAGGATCATTGCATAAGAGCAAATTCACACATGCGGAACCTGCATCAAGTGAGGGAAACCTCTACAAGTACAGCACTCCCACACTACTGAGTTTGACTTCTCTATATGGGAACAAAGAATCTACCTACATGTCACAGTTAGATCTTGGACCTGCTAAGCCTTACAGTATGGGTTCCCACATCCTTTGAAAAATTAGGACAGTTTAAGTTTTAAACCTCTAAAACCAAGCTGGTTTGGATCCAAGGTTTTACATGTCAAAACATTTGAATCTAGAACCTCAATCCAAATCTGGCCTTTTCATAAGGGCCTGTCAGTCTTTAAACCTGCAAACAGGTTTCCATTTAACTAAAATATTTATTTTTATAGGCATTGATGTAGAATTTTAGGCCGAGGACAATATGGTGAGACGTGGGCAAAATTATCTGAGGTACAGATACTGCTTTATTTCTTTTTCCCCCCAGTATCTTTACTGCGTATAACCCTTTGATTTTTTGCCTTGGTTATTTGATTCTCTTGTGGAATTTTTTTAAGACAACAGCAATGCAAGGACTTTATCTGTAGTTATTGAACTGTGTTCAGGGGAAAACCGGGTTGTTCCTAAAACTCAACCTGAAAATACTGGATTAATTCATAGACATAACAATACTGTTAATTAAGTTAGGAATGGGTGATCTGGTTTGGGGATCAGGACAATCTGCACTGCAGTAGTTTAAGCATTGATATTTTATGTTGTCATCCTTAGTTCTCAGAATCGACACTCCATTGAGCTCCTTTTAGAGCTAATCTTTCACTAGGTGATATTGTCTATAGAAGTTAAAATATTGGACTGGCACTAAAGAGAAACCTGGATTGGATTGTGTTTGTTACCTTCCAGGCAACCATGAGCAAGCCATTTCGTTCCTTGGTGCTTCACTTTCCTTGCCTCTAAAACAGGGGTGATGATACTGGATCTCTGAAAAAAAGCTTGGAGATCTGCTGATGAAAAGCACTATTTAAAAGCTACATAATATTATTCCACAAAGTCCCATTCATTCAGAAAGTCTCATATTTGGTTCATTTTACTAAAGTTGGTTTTGCAAACATGAGAAACAATATAATGATTCTATTCTTTGTTAATGAAAGTTGAGATACTGGAACACAGTCAGGTGGAAAGGGGTGAATTTGATAACAAATCCAGTGACTGCAGAATTGAGGAATACATTTCACTAAGCGTGAACACTGCTAGTGGAAACTTTTTCCTGCTTTATCCATTTTCTGACTTTGAGAGTGACCTTAAAGGGAGACAAGAGAATTCAGTGTCCAAATTAACCTTTATAGGATAACTACAGTTCGTCAATTCTGTATGGGACTGGACTGAAATAAGTGATCTAGAAGTGAAATGTCCACATCCTGTTACATATACTGCTTGAGCTATCCAATCCATGTAAAATTACAGTTTTCAAGGCATAAATTGCAGTAGTTAAACAGCAGCGAATACCTGCAGAACAAAACTTGAGTAACAGGCTGGCCAGCAACAAGTACATGAGTTGCTTTCCAAAAGATAATTGAGTTACCTCGGGGGCTAAAATTTCATCTTGAGTGTATCTGCCAGATTATTATAATTAACATCAGGAAGGTTTCAAGAATAGTGGCTAGACACCTGGCTGCGAGGCACTCCAGCACAATTACCTTCTTGCTTAGTCCGAGTACTCATTTTTCATGCCAAAGTATAGCTTAAATTCAGACCTTTTTTTTCTATTTTCTGCGTATATTGTCTTCCCTCCCCATAAATGCCACTTATTGACGTATATTAATCTAAGAGGTTAGATGTTGCTTTCTATTTGTGGGCATGGCTTTGATAGAAATTAGACTGCCTGCTGCATTCAAGATACTTTGATGGCCTTTCCTACCTGCAGAAGGGTCTAATCTTTATTTGCTTAGTTTGATGTTATGTTAGACTAGATAAATTGCATTGTTACTGTGCGGGCCGGGAGCAGTCCGAGGCCCTCGGGGGCCTGTGCGCGGCGGGCTGTGGCCAGCAGCCCGGACACGCCGGGTCGGGGAATGCAGGCCAGCGAGCTAGAATTAGGCACGGACGCTTAGCGGTTGATTAAAGATTATTTTACTTACACCGAAGATGGTTGCGGTGCAGGCAGGAAAACTTGCTTGAGTTGCAGTTACAAAACAAAACTGGAACCTGCAGGGCACGAGAGTACGTTGCAGGGGGTTTTCGGCGACGGGAAGATGCAAAACACGAGAGTACGTCGCAATGGGTTTTCGGCGACGGGAAGATAAACCTGCAGGACTCAAACCCGGGTAGAACTCTGGATACACTCACACGAAGTTTGCTAGGCTCCGTGGAACTTGCGCGCAGGGAAGGGGTTTGTCGAGGGATTGTTCGGCGACGGGGAGAGGCCAGAGGTTGATCAGACCCCTGT